CTCTAGGCAGCGAAGAAATCTACGAACTACGCACACCTAGCTTCAGTAAATTAACATAACAACAATAAGTTTCAAAGAATACCATGTACACAGCATCCTGTTTAAACTTTAAAAAAAAAATCTACGAATAGCACAATCTAGGCATTACGCACAAATTAACAAAATAAACTAAAATAACTAAAATTACAAACAATTAAAAAAACAACAATAACAACAGAAATTCACAGTAAAAAAAAACAATGAACAAAACATTCTAGAAAACAAAAACAGTAAAATAAAATAAACTTGCCATAATACATTCGTTAATAAAATTTCGCAAGTCAGACAATGCCTGTGAACAAAAATGCCAAGATTTTGCTATATCACATGTCTTTCTGCGATCAAAATTTCAAAAGTAACGATAAAAACTTCCTCCAAAGTTGACTTACTACACGAAAACCACAATCCAAATTTCTTTTTAAGATTGCACTATCCAAATCTTCTTTTTAAGATTTGGATTGTGGTTTTCGTGTAGTAAAGTCAACACTCACAGCCACATACTTTACCAGCAAGCATTTGACTGCAAATCCACACAAGAACTATCAGAAATGCTCTTCTTCGTCAGAGTTCCCATAGCAGCTCAGCATTTCGGACTCCATTTTAAAAAAGCCTACAAATTCCAAAATACACTTCGATCTATAAACACACCCGTGAACAAAAGACTCCCTTAACAACTCAACATCATACTTTTAGGAGCACTTCCGAGAGAACCCGGTAATGTAAACATCGCCAACTTTGGCGATAATAGTTCAAACCTGGTAACCCGGCAGATTTATCCTATTCGCTTTAAGAAGGTTTGCAACCATTCCTCTAAACGTTCATTTTGTTGAATTATCACTGTTGTTGTTCGCATTTGCAGATTTATATTATTCATCTCTTATTTATTATTATTTTTTCTGAATTTTTTAACAATGAATAGATAGAAATATTTTCGTAGATAGATGCCGGTTCTCTTCGGGGATGAAAGGAAGAAAATACGGCGGGAGGAGTGAATGCTAATTTGTAACAAGGCTGTTCACGTTGTGCTCTTAATTATTAATAGCTCTTAAGAACCATGAGCAGAATCATGAGGTTTCCAACCTCTAAAAATAATGTGTTTCCGTAGGCCGCAAAATGTGCATGTGCATGTGCAAAATAAATAAATAATGCTTTTATTTTTATTATTGGTTATTGTCATCTAAAACTATGAGACTAAATAAATTTTTATGGTGTAAAATTCTAACATAACCTTTCAGAGGATGGCAGGTATGACATAAATAGATGATTAAATTGCAATAAGAATCTTATTCATTATCTAAGATGACAGAATAGTTTGATGATTCCCTATGGCCATCAAAATTAGCAAACACTGCTGGTGTAATGAATATGTTGTTTTCTGTGATAACTGGAATTTAAGACAAATTTATTTTTGTATATCAAGTTTAACCGGTTAGTTTTACATCTACATTAAACTAATTATATTTTAATGAATATATCATGTTTAACGGTTAGTTTTACTTACTCTATTATCTTGAATTTTTTACTCCCACAGCTTAATATATTGTTTGTCTATAACTTGAATTTACATGCACTAAAAATCACGTAACAATCATACCACATTGGCAAGAATTGTTTATGGCTGGATCACGTCGAGAAAGCGAGCGTGGCAGAGTAAAATGCACGGCGCCAACGGGTTCTGCGGATGAAAACACCCTTTACTATAAATTTACTTTTCCACACAATAAAATACGCGACTGAAATCTTGCCACCACGTCTATCATTGCAACATAGGCCATTTCAAAACACGCATGACACGAACCAATGAGCAATTAAACCACTGTGGCAAAAGAGTTCAGTTTCAATGTCAAAAGGGTTGCCATACAAACATCCTCCCCGAAACCATCACACAGCAACCTAATCCCGCCAAAAACCAGAGCAGGACATATATCGCCACATTTGGTGATCTTAGGGAGAATATAAGTGTAGAGCCTCTTATTTTTATGAATTTATGTGGCAGTACCAGTATACAGATTCTAGTTCAGATAATTTTAGGAAGTTTTTCGATATGCTGTTAAGGAATTCTGTTTGATTGAAGACAAAGAATCTTGTAAATAAGGTAATTGGATATTTCCTTTGTGTAGTGCTAAGATGAATTTCCTTTTTTATCTTATTTCATTGTTTGATTTAAAATGTAGTTTATTGAGATTATATATTTTTTGTTGGCTGCTCCTTTGACTTTTTAAGTGAATACAGATCGATGTGCACATGGAGAACGTCAAGGGAGTGTGCAATGCTTAGTTTGTGCAATACTTTGATTTTTTTTTTTTTTTTTTAAGGAAAAGCAGGTCGATATGTACATGGATACTGAGCTTGTGCAATTCTTTAACTTGTTATTTTGAATTTATGTAGCGGTGATCTAAAAATTGCCACTACACAAAGCCAAAAAAACAAGTCAAAGAATTGCACACACTCGGTGTCCATATACTGCCAAAAATCTCCAAGGGCCACTCATAAATATATTTTTACTGCTATTTTCTTATACTTTTAGCTTGTGAAAATCCTAACTAGGGAAGGAAAGTTTTTATTAATTATTACTTTTAAAGATGTTTGTCGCATCAACCTTTGATAAATTCAGTAATACACTATACATGGATATAAAACAAAATTAAATATTAACACATAATTAAACACAAGTTGAATCTTCATGAAAATTTCTACAAATCTATACAGCAGATAAGAGAATTCAGAAATTTAATAAGAAAAAAATTCTGAAAACTGATAAAGGATAGACAAATGAAATTTTCATCATTTAAGTTTCATTTATTGCTTCAAAACATCTTTATTATTATTATAAGTTTTCCTTAAAACAGACTAAAATTTAACAACAGTGGGATTAGATAATCTAATGGGAAAGTGGGACATTTGAAGAAAAGTTGTTAAAATTGACAGCTACACAAAGCCCACAATAAGACATTATTAGTGACCATAAGGATTTCCTGTAATTAGTCCTTTTGTTCAAATGTAGTAATTGTTTGAATAACAAAGTCAGTCAAATTCTAGGTAAATTTAAAGAGAAAAAAAATTTAATTTCGGTATAGCAAAAATGGATTTTAAATTCTGAGACTATAGGATATGAGTGCAAATGTTAATATGCGTTCTATTCTGAACTTCAACAAGTTCAAAAGCTGTATGGCTACTACGACTAAATATAATCTGTTTTGAATCTAAGCTTGTTAACATACAGTGTTTCACAACTTTTGTAAAGCACAAGTGATAGGACACTTGTGCTTTACAAAAGGAAACTGTAGTAAAATAAATTTTTTTGTGTGTTTTCATACTTATTTAGTACAATTATTACATGACAACATTTTCTCAAATTTAAATTTAATTTACTAAAAATAAATGTTAGAACGGAGCAAAAAATTGGCTCACATAATGATGGACACTTTTCCATCAAAATTATCAAAATTTTACTTTTTAAAGTTTTAATATTTTGTTGGATTTTTTTTACTTTTAAAACATGATTTATCTTTTGGGATGATTCGACTAATTTTTGTGATTTCACCCTATTCTTCTTGAAGCCCGATTTTAATTTTGTTTTGAAGAATGGGTTTTGGAATTCTTGTTCCAATTCTTGCCAAACTTCTCTATGGGATTTAAGTCTGGCATGTGGTGGTGTTTTATTATTTCAGGATAGTTATACGCAGCAAGCTAATTTCAAAGCAGGTGCTTGGGGTCAATGTCCTGGTAGAATTTAAATCGTTATGAGGTTCAATTTTCGTCGGGATTTCAAATTTTGATTACTTCATATACTTAACTGATCCTTAACTGTCATAAAACAAGATTCCAACCAACTTGCGACATACACCCCATACCATACTCCCCTCCACCACGTTTCCGTTTGCACAGTTCTTTTGCGATTCTTCCCGGGTTTTCTCCACCCAATTCTACCGTCAAACCAATATTATTTCGTCTCATCAGCAATATAAGTTCATTCCATATCAGAATTCTAGTATGTTGATTTTGCGAAAGCCATCTGATTTTCTATTCTTTCACTTACAAAATTTTTTCCTGATGCTCTCCATATTCCCAATCGAATTACTCTCTAATAGTCTCAGTGACAATTATTCCATATAATCTTGAAATCGCATAACTTTAGGAGCACTCATTCTTGGATTTTTTTAAAATTTTCGAACGATAATCGCTTTATTTCCAGTGGTAGCTGATGGTCGGCCAGGTCTTCTTTATCTGAATATATCTTTTTTATCATTTAATAATATGAAACTGTGAAGGACCAGTTAAACTGTTTCAGCAGTTTTCTCTAATCAGAAATAATTAGATTTTCCACTCAATATGCAATTAATAATATTTTCGAATTTCTGCAAGGTTCTTTTCGTTAGTATCTGCTGCCAAGCTAAAAACCAAAGCCTAACAACTGGAGAGAATCTGCAACATTTATATTTTGCATTTTTTGAGTAAAATAAAAAACCCCCAAAATATTTTATGTACTACTATAGTATCTATATTCTCTCATCATTTTGAACCATTTTTGCTCCGTTCTAACCAACTGTATTTTTAAATTAATATTTTGAGAAAATGTACGTTATGTAATAATTGTTACTAAATTTAAGTATGAAACACATCCCAAAAAAATGTTTACATGTTCTTTTAATTAATTTTATTACAGTTCCCTTTTGTAAAGCACAAGTGTCCCATCACTTTTGTGAGACTGTATATTATGTTTCCACTTAAAATGTTCAAATGCGAAGTCTGAACAGAATACGGAAACTTTAATCATTGTAGAGCATTAAGCGCTATATAATCCGACATTTATTTTCAATTAAGACATTATTCGATATGAGATTCTCGACATTATTCGACTTGAGATTCTCGGCATTATTCATTTACTTACATATAACTATTTAATATATTTATATACGAAACTCCTAAATTTCCGTGAGATGTAACTAAAATAATATTACCTCTTTCATCGTAGCGTCTTTATCTATCTCAATTATATGTTTTTCTTTCGTGGTTTTGACAGTTACTTTAATTTTGTTATCCGATTTTGCCGCATCATCCTTTGGTTCAGATTTAATTGAAATACTATCACTTGATTTATTAGAACGCTTTGGACTTTTGGCAACTGGTTCGCATATTACTTCGTCATCGTCCTCAGACAGCGGTTCTTCTTTAACTTTAGTTAATAAAGCTTCATTTTCGGTTTCACTAGATACATTCTCCGCCATGACTGTCGTTTAATACGATATACCGGTAAATAACCGTGAGTTGAGACAAGGCCAACTTCTACTCAAGGCCTGCCAGACTGAACGAAATTCCGATTCCCAGTTTTCAGTGGCTTTCGCAAAATTCATCACTAGGGCCTCGCTTCTGCTACACGTTCTCTTTTGTATCTGCTCGTTATACAAAAGTTCCGCTGTACTAATATAACTAAATGTAATGTTGCGTGCTATACCAAACTTTCCTTCCTTAAAAAAATTTACGATTATTTAAAAATTATTCGCAACATATAACTGTTGGAAGCATTTCTACGTTTCAGATTTATACAAATACAAAATTTCTTAAACAAATGCATCATCACGTAAATTTAAGCTTTAAAATTCTTTCTTACTTTTTTCGCTGCTTTTGAATATAACAGCTTCTATAGTACGTGTGTTCAGCTCATGTTATGTTTTCGTCTTCCTGAAATAAATTATCATAATTTTTTTATCATTCTGGAGATCCTGTTTCTGCATAAATAATTTAACCTTTCATATAATATTATTATACATATTAATTTATGCAATTAAATTTAAGATGCTCCACGTAATATTTTATAAGAAATCCTATCGGTTGCTTTTTTAGAATTTATTACTTTTTACTCCCATATTGTTATCTTTGTCCAGAAACATTGAATGCTGTCTGTACTAGCTTCAAAATTTAAAACGCATACTCATTTATTAGTGTGAGCTGTACATAAATTTCTTCTACCTGGTTGAGTTTTTGTGTTGCACTTGAAGTAATAGGATTCATGCGAATCCATAGATATATGACTTAATAGATGTAATACTTTTTGTTTTAGGATATGTTTTATTTTTTAAATATGCTGTTAATGATTGAATTAGCAGTCTCAAAATTGTTTTTTTTCCCTTCGTCCAAACTTTGCTAACTTCGGTGAAAGTTTTGTCTCAATGCTGCTACATTTCAAGTAGGTGGAGTCATAAATAACTTTCGATTCAGTTTAGTACATGGACATCAGTAAAATTATAAGGTATACTACAAGGAATGTAACGCTGCATACCAGGTTTTCATTCTCAGTTTTTACTTTCCACAAATGTAGCACTTATTTTGAGACAATTTTATGGACGCAAATTTATAGGCTTCGCACGTTCTTAAGCCACGCCCCATTTTGTAAGGATTATACCGCCTGTATTTCAGAAAGATCGGGTTTATGCGATTAAGGCAAAGCCTCGAGGGCTGTCTGCCTATGCTGAGAACCATTTGGAAGAATTCTAAGGCGAACTGGCTCGTAAGACAAGACAGTAATTGAATTACTTTAATTAGCGAAGATTTAGGCGATACTTTGGAAGAGTCCCTATGAAATGGGGCTGGCTTAAGGGTGTGCCAAAGCTGGATTTTTGAAATTAATTTGTACTGATTTAAGAGCATGCTTGGTATGTAAATTTATGTTGATTGATACGTACCACCCTGAATTTCTGGAAATGTGCAAACAAAACATAAACTTTCAGTATCAATAATCGTACTCAATGTACAACTATTTGGGACAGAGGGATTATATTCATGTGATTAATGTAAATGTTATTATTATTCTTAGGTGTATTGAAAGCTGGTATTATTTAATATAGAGTGTCACGTTTTTCTCAGAGCTCTAAATCTGCACTATTTAAATTTTATTTTTTAATATTCCAAAATGTAGTTAATTAATTAAAAACGCAAAATTTCATACCTAAGCCAAATTTCTTTTAGAAATACTTTTCTCTTATGTATTACAATTTACTTTCACATTTTAATTACATATTATATGGCTCCAAATTATTTTGTTGCACAGCACACTGATATATACGATGAAAATTGCGCTGAAATAGTTATGTCTGAACTACCTGCTAACTTCATACTCTCATAATTTAAAAGTAAACATTGCTCTTATATCTAGATCAAAAGGAATTAACCAGAATCAAGCTCGACGGTTTATATGAAAAAGAAAATGGATACTTGAAATTTTGCTTCCTTTCTAAATAAAAATATTTTTATAAAAGAATGTATATTTCTGACTACTACGTTAATCGTTTTTAAATTTGCATATACAGACCATTATTTGTCTCGGAATTCTGCTCATTGTTACTCGCAAAGCGTACGGAATTGTAGCGCCCTCCTGCGGTCAGTAGATATTTCACGGAGGCAACCGAAAACACAAAAGAATATTTTCACACTGGCAGGCCTTGAGTGTAAGTTGGCCTTGGTTGAGATGTCAGGCTTACAATCTGGCAGCCAAAATTGTTAATCGGTTATTCATACTTGTAAATGTAATAAGTTCAGAAGCCTTTGTCTTCAGTTATTTTTACTTGTAAGAACGAAAATTGAAAAATAAGCTACTGGCATATTTCGTTACAGCCTAGAAATACTACAACAACATATTGCTATTATAATATTGAAATATTAATAATCATGTAATATAATATACTAATGTATAATATTATCCACAATAAACTGCGACCCAGACTTTTTAATGTGCAACTCGATGCCTAATCATTAGTCACTAAACAATTTAAAAGACGCTACTATGCAATATAAATCCACGTTGAATGGCAACAGTGCTTTCATAAACCGCCAATTTCATTAAATCTAACGATGCTTTTGTTAGTATGGTTTTAAATATCCATGTTTGGATTTTTGGTGAATTTGGGAATCTGTTAATTCAGGCAACATAAACTACGCATATTTATCTTTATCAGATATTGAAGCAGAAAAATATTACTTCTGATTAAATTATTCTTTCGTATGACACTAAAAATTTGGAAAGGTATGTTTTGTGTTAATGCTTGATGAGTTAAATTATGTAGTTGCATTAAAATGAATGTTCTTATTAATTTGGAATTCTTAAGGACCTAATGTTTAATTATTATGCTTGATATAGTTTGGTAATTCAATTTTATGCCTTATAAATTATTATGAAATCTAATTCGATTTTAAAATATGCAATTAGTAAAGAATATTAGGGGGTTTAATCCTAGTATCTGGTGCACAAGGGATTTGGCTACTTTTGGCGACTTTTGATGACGTAAACGGGACATCGAGATAGAGTTAAACGGGTCTTTTGGTGTTGGCGATAATTTTCAAAATCTCCCCAAACTGCACCGTATCTAGATTTTTACCCATTAGGAAACAGAACTTTCATACACTTTGAAGAATAATTACTATAATTTTTATATCGCAGAGCGCTCTAGTTAAATTGGGTGCCCCTTCGATTAGCGACATTTGGCGAAAAACTTCCCTCTGTTACTATGATAGTTTTAACGGTTGATCTTTACTAGGGTGGCGATTTTTTACGAAATTGGCAACCACTCTCCTACGCAACCCTCTTTTTTTTTTCCCCCCGCCATTTTGTTTTTCATGAGTAAAGACTTTCTTTTCTTTATCTACTGAACACTTCTTCACAATCTAGTGCTAATACCTTATGCTAAATGTATCAACAAACTCTAATCATGACAATATTCACTGCAAATGGGAAAAGTGCACAATACCATACTCCTTACGCGTTTCAAGTAACCATACACATAAACCATGTACAGGCGACTTTTTTTACTTAAAAAATCCCAGAATTGCACAAAATGGCATTGCGCCACTCTCACTTAGCCAGTACATGCTTTTTTCTCATAAATTAAAATTTTCATGAAAAACAGACAATTCTCAATCTTTACACCGGGTAAAAAGAACTATATGAAATACCTATCGGAAAAAGTATTACCCTTTACAAATGAACATTTCCACATATAAAATAATAAAATATCCAAACTTTTACCTCTAATCGTCTATTACATTATACACGTCCCAACAATTCATACCACAGCATACAATACTTTAGTATCAATATTAATTATTTCCATGCACTTTTATTTCTTAAACTATACAAATTCCCAAACATAAATCACAAAATATCATTTAATTAAAATTCACTAACATGTACACGTCGACTTATTTTAACTTAAAAAAACTCCAGAACTGCCAAAAATGGATTGCGCCACTCTTCACTATATCCATGTACACTGCTTTTTTTCTCATAATTAAAAATTCACAAAATATGACAATTTTCTCAATCTTTAAACCGTAAAAGAACATATATGAAATTACCCTATCACGAGTATTTACCCTTTACAAATGAACATTCCACATATAAAATAATAAATATCCAAACTTTACCTCTAATTATCTATTATATTATAAACGTCACCAACGAATTCATACTGCACCATTACAAATACTTAGTGTCCAAATATTATTATTTCCATGCACGTTTATTTCAACTTAAACTATACCATTCCTACAAACATAAATTCACAAATAACTATCATTTCATTAAAATATAATGAAAAAAAAAACACTATTTAAAATATAAATGACACATACTAAATTAATAAAATCCTAAATCCTAATACTTTAAACTAAATCATTGCTAATAACAATTTTCCCAATAATACCAAATTCCTTTCCCCTTACATTTAGAACATGCATAAAATAATTCCTCAAATAATTAAATACTAACTTCCTAATCTTCTTCAGAATCTTGATTACGTGGCGGATACACTTTTCTAATTCATTCAATAAATTATTGAAAGATTTTTTTCTGCGAATTTTTCCTCCATTTCCTCCGCTAAAAAAGCAACTTCTCTTTATCACAAGCCTAAATACCCATTTCGAATTCACTTTATTAGGGCCTGGATCCAAAAATTAACAACACGTTTCACACAACACAGATAAAGCTAAATACAAATTTCCACTTTTTTTCCCGATTTCTTCCCCCTTTTCCGATTAAGAACCGTAATTCGTTCATTAATAATCACTACAATCCCTGATCTCTCATTTCCCTCGCGCAAATAATGCGTAATTGGAACTGAGTACTGCTCACATTATTACCAAAGTCCCAGGTAGTAAGTAACCTTTATCGCCTCCAAAATATCGCCAAACTACCAGTTACCATATTGTAAAGATCAACCGTTTTAACTTTGTTTTAGCTTCCTGATTTTATGTAAATGAAAATAGATTGATGTGTACTTGGACAAACTTAAGCAGTGCGCAATGCCTAGTTTGTGCAATTC